GAACAACGCGTTATGGCAAGTTTAAGTATTAAAATACCTCCTAGTCTATGTCTCGCACCGCTTTGAGATATTTCTGTCTGTTTATTCCTTGAAATTGTGCATTTGTACTGCCAACTATTTTTTGTCTGATTGCAGTCGTTAACTTTGTAATATGCATAGTAGCATGCCCCCAAGTGACAACATTTATCATTTCTTTTGTTTTCACATTGCCAGCTCCTGCCCCTCACGCTTGCATCTCCCATAAGTCAGCCTGCATGTACCTTGCTTGATACACTCTGTTTTTAATATTAATAAAACCCATTTTTAAGCATTATTGTCACATTTCCAACCAAAAGATGAAAAGCGTGAATCAGGATATATTTAAACAATATATATTTAAACAAATCTGTGTGATGAGTTAAGATTTTTTCAGCAGGTAATGGGAAATATATTTTGAATGGCTCGCCATTTACATTTACGTCATAATTTACATTTACTACATTATAAATGTTACTGGATATGTTAACACTCTATGATGATATCAATCGTTCAATTTCAATAAACCATTTGATTGGCAGTCGTTTTGAAGAAACTCCTGGCTGCTCAAACCTTCTTTCTAGTCAGCTTTTAGTCAAGATTACATTCAAATCTTGCCCAACTAGTGAACTTAACGTCCAAATCGTATTCTAGAAAATGACAGACGTGATTGATTCTGATCATTGAAAAGACTGATTTAACGGAGCACTTTGACCAGATGCAACACCACTCAATATGATTGCATGTGAAATATGGTCTTTATTATTTCTCTTGTAAACCCTAAGTCTTAAATATGGTATCCAAAATGTTATAATTGTATTGTAAGTGGTATATATTACATCACAATAAGCATGAATGTATGCACAGATTGTGTTGTCAATTACTACATCCTGTTTCTCTTGTTTTCAAGTTAGCATTTGTGTTCGGTGTATAATTTCATATCCTTTCTCATTTATTGATGTCATGTGTTGTGTTATGCAGTACAATGCATTGGAGAAACAATGTTGGGCATAAGCTTACATAAGTGTATTCAATTATTTATAATTTACGGGTATGCAACTTAGATATCCATGATATAAGATGGAGATCCCATTCATTGTGAACTTCATGTTTACATCAATCATAATGTATTTGTAATCAGTGTCATCACACAAGGAAATGAACTGGTTAAATTGCATTTTCTTTTTACTTTATATTCATATTCTTGTAATTATCTCGTTGCCATTGTTTTCTTGTAAAAGTTTTACTCCTTTGATGGGATGATTTTATGTATTTATATATGTGGTTAACATAAAAATAGAATATAAAAAAAAAATGAGGGTATCCTCATATTCACAAGGATAAAAACATCATTATTTATTTCCATTTTTCCAATAAATATGGACACAACAAATGAATGCTGAGATGTACAATTCTTTCACACACTCACTCATTTACATAAATAATAGAAATGTATATTTGTTGTGCAATTTTGTGTGACTTTAAAATGGGATCTTCATTGCATATCACGTTCTTATTTTATGAATAATGACTTGTTTTTCACAGGAAAGTTTTTATCACATTCCTGTAAGCAGTTGAAGCTTTCTAAACTGTCAGTGCATTTCCAAGTTGTCTACCTTTCTATTTTACACTAATTTTCTTCTAAATAATTATATTTTTCAGATCAGTGCCTTGGTGGTGCCATTGTGTCTTTGGAGTCACTACGTCGTAACCCAAGCACTCGTCAAATAATTCCATTACAAGGAAACAACATTCAAGATGGAAATGTGTCAGGATCCATCACCCTGGAGGTAAGTACGAGAATATTACAGTTTACACTGTCCTGTCTGTTTTACCTTATTAACCTGAATAGCTCTTCTTTCATCCGGTTTTTATCATCAAATTTAAAATTATCAAGCACATACTGGGACTATGTCATGCTTTCATGGATAGACGGAATGAATGGAAATTTGTTATTGAAAGGCGATTTGTTACAAATAAAATTGAAAGGAAAGTTTTTCTTTATGTTTGTTGATTAACTAAATTTAAATTTATTTTTATAGTTTCTGTTCATGGAGCCCGCTGAAGCGCAAGTAACAGCCAATCAGATGTATCCTCAGCCATCGCCGCTACGATCCAAGTATCCAGGTACGCCCACAAAGAACGTTGAAACTGAGAGAACAGTTACCCCAACAGGAACTGTCATCACTACAGTAACCACGACCACATCACGCCCAAAGTTGTCAAAGGATCGGAAGATAAGTGGGCCCTCTCTGAATGGTAGGCCTTGTTTCCAATCTGGCCTTGCATTGCTGCTACCTATTCAATCACTCCCTGATAATACAATAAATTCTGTACTTTTCCTTTGCTTAAAAACATCTTATTTTGCTATTCAAGTGTAAGTCACTTATATAATTTTCCAAAAAAAAATATAATTTTTATGTTTACTTCTCACTGTGACTGTACTAAGATTACACCCGATAAACTCTCACTCAATATCTCACGGTAAAAATTATGTACTTCCCTCTGTCAGCTATGATAGATTTGGTACCTTTGCCTCAAAATTAACCTTTGACCTTTGCTTTTCCATGATGGATTTAGTGCTCCAATCTTTGACCTTAAAGTTGGTGTGCTTTGATCTTTTCGTCAATTATGATTAGGTTTAAATAGTAATTTTTAATTTCAATTGACCCGCGACCTTTCCGTTACCTATGATGAATTTGGTAGTTTTCTGCTTTGATTCACTGCTTTGTTTGGAACCTTATGCCTTGAAATAAACTTTCAAACTTTCTGTCATCCGTGATTGGCTTTGTACCCTCTGCTTCAAAGTTAACCTATGACCTTTATTTGGCCATGATGTTGGTATCCTGTTTCTTGACATTAACCATTAACTTTTCTGCCATGAATTTTATAACCTTCTGCCAACCTTTTAACCTTTGTCAGCTATGATATTCCTTGAAAATCATTGACCTTTCAGTTTCAGTCTTCCATATCTAATTTAGTTATTTTTCTTGACAAAACAAAGTGAATATGAATTATCACTTATTTTCTTTACATGTACTTCTTTTCATCTGTTTTTGAACTTTGCTCTAAATTCCTTGGTGGTGATTTCCCGTTTTTTGTCATGTCCAATTACTGTATATGGGTGATGTGTGTCACATGGCTAACAGTCATGTGACCACAACTCACCATGTAAGCTTTTTAAACAACTGACCAATAAATGTTGTTGTACTAAAGCATGTGCTTTTATGGGAAGGTGAGAAGCTTTCTGGGAGTTATTATTTCACTTTTTCGTTATTGCACATCTTTTTGTGTTTATTAACAAATTTTCTGTTGTTCTTTTCTTCTTTCTTGGGTGTTCTATGCATTTAAACCTCATGGCGTTAAGCCGAGATCACAGATTACTTTATAGACGTTCCAGGCAAGAATTTGCTAGTATTAGTGTGCATTGTGTGTCTGCAGAGATACAAGCTTTAGGGCAATATATACTTGGCACATTCCTCTTCATTCATCATTGAAGCCAGTATCTTGC